TTCCGGACCGATACGATTTAGGGACCTTCAAGAAAAGAGCTTACACCTTTCTAAAAGGCCGGCAACGCACCTGTGATTCCCCTGGTAAAGCGGTTGTTCATGGGCGGCGGTAGTCACTTACCATCAGGTGAGCTGCATGCTCGTTTGCCCCCTCTTCCCTAAAAAAATATTCCTTCAAATAAATTTAATTAGTGCAAAAACACGAAACAGATTTAGATATAAACAAACATGTAGCCTCTATTTTGCGTATTAAACAAGGCATTGATTAGCATGGCGATTGCATTGCATTCAAACCAACGAAAAATATATAAATATATAAAATTAATAAAAATATAGCATTTAAATGTGTATTTTTACTTTTCTTAGTTTAATACAATTATACAATGTTAAATAAAGATGGCAGTATTTAGGTATTTTTCACTATAAACGTTTGCAGGATTTTAACCAAACTAAGGCAGGATCTGTATTTTAAAGATGGTCACACTGTGAGCAAGCCCACCCATTATTATTCTTGAATAAACACTATTAGAGTATTAGATACGGTTAATTATCCTCTTCGTATTTATTCATTAATATTACTATAATACTTAAATGAAATTATTAATACGACGAGAAATTGGAATATAAAAATAGAAAAGACAGTTTGTTTCAAAAGGTAAGTTGAATTATCAATAATAATAAATAATCAGTATACTATTTTTTTAAAAACTAATATTCTTTCCAATGGTTTTCAAATATTTTATTGTTAGAACAACTTGCTTGGTCATCAAAACTTTAAAGTAAGCCAAAAATAACTGTAAGCTATGAAGAAAATCGTTTTGGGCCCACTAGAAATTTTAACTTAACTTAATGGTTTTACACATATAAAAGATACCAATTTATTATATTTGTATATAATATATTTATTAGTAAAGAGATACCACTGAAAACTTGTTTTAATAGGATTAATTTTCAAACTGAAACGGCAGTCAATTAAATATGACGATGTAAATAATGCTCTATCGAAACTAGTACATTGGTTTAACGCCAACAATTTGCTCTTAAACGGCAATAAGACAAAATGTATTAAATTTACAATACCTAATGTAAAACATTCGAAAACCAATGTGCTCTTAAATGGGGAGGAGTTGAGTCTTGTGGATACCACTGTTTTTCTCGGTATTACTATTGACGCGAAACTTCAATGGGGCCCCCATATATCTAAATTAGCAAGCAGACTTAGTTCTGCAGCATATGCTGTAAGAAAGATTAGAAGTCTCACAGATGTTGAGACAGCTAGGTTAGTGTATTTTAGTTACTTTCATAGCGTAATGTCTTATGGAATTTTGCTATGGGGTAATGCGACTGATATTGAAGCTATATTTGTTTTGCAAAAGAGAGCCGTACGGGCGATTTATAATCTAAATTGTAAAGAGTCCCTTAGAGAAAAATTTAAAGAAATAAACATATTAACTTTGGCATCGCAATATATTTATGAAAATGTAATGTATGTACATAAAAACATAAATAGCTTTAATAAGAATAAGGATGTTCATACCTTAAACACTAGGAACAAACATAAGCTTGTAATGCCACTTACAAGACTCCACAGAATTAGTAATTAATTTATGGGGCAATGTATACGCTTTTACAACAGAATCCCAGAACATGTTCAAAGTTTGTCAATAAACAAGTTTAAAAGTTTTATTAAAGAAAAACTGTACAAAAAGGGTTATTATAATATCAAGGAATACATGAGTGAAAATAACCCCTGGGAATAAGGTGATCGCCACCATGCTGGTTCTATGAAAATTCATTTAAAATTGTATAATCAAAATTATTGTTAAGTGAAATTATGTTTAAAAAAAAAAGTCCCGCTGGGTTTCTTGCTGGTTCTTCCCAGGACAGAGGTATTTTCCGAACCAGTGGTAAATAAAATAATGACTTTCAATAAGTATTATGTAATAATCCATATTGAATAAAAATCATTCTATTCTATTCTATTCAAGTTTTCAGTGGTATATCTTTCTAAATGTATTTATATTAGCTAATTTAGAAATATAGTTCAAAGTGACCTTGGAACGAAACTTAAAACCCCTATTTTGTCAGTTTGTCATTGCCTACATATTTATTTCTCTATGGTTAGGGGTTTCCACTTTGAAAATACATCGATGATTTTCTTCGATGTAATGCATCGAGACTGTGTATCGACATATTCCGATGAATCGGTTAGAAACATCGATGTTTTTCCTAATCGTGTAATTTTTCAGACTACAAATCTGTAGTCAACCTCCTGACATCCCACTCAAACAAACAACGTAATGTAATGATATAAATGATTGCGTAAACAGGTTTTATAAACGCACAAGATTTTTAAATCCGATGCCTTGGCAGAGGGAAATAATCATGCGAGGCGATTCCCTTGGGTTAAATGGTCTAAGACCGAGATAGCCCAGACGATTTTTTTTATTTTCTTTAGCAGAGTTATGCCAACCAGCCGACCTCTTGAAAAAAAATTCTTGATTCCGCTTAAGGGACTGACAGCTGCCAACTAGCGCCTCTAATAGGTTTAATATTATAACTTCTAAACTAGAGCATGTTTTAGTTTTACTGATTTAGAAGTTATAATATTAATATTGGTATGTAAGTATCACTGATTCGATGTTTTATGAAAATACATCGATACATCTTATTGTAAACAGCGAGTGAAATGAATTCGATGTATCGATGTATATCGAATAACCTTATCTATGGTAATTGTCTTTCGGGTCCGGGATCCTTTCTTTGTATTATAGATGAAATATATTAATTTTGTATTATTATTTATTTACTACTATACGACATTGACGATAGTTTGTGTTTGTGCAGTGTTTGTGGATTTGGATTGTGGCATTGCCGTTTATCACGTTGCTGCTTTTTTGTATTTATTTGCAATTTTAAAATTGAATCTGCGAAAATTCGCAATGTTCGAAAACAATTACTATCCGAGACAGCTATAGATGAGCACCAACTGTTTTTGTGTGTGGATTTCTCACGAGGTTAGTATTTTATCTTACGGAATGCGCAAAGCTTAAGGCAGAACTGTGCAAAACCTACAGTCGATTTAAAAGTTCTAAATTTTTATGAGGAATATAATCTCTTATTTGTCACATTCGAAGGTCCAGTCTAAAAAAAATACATTGTGGAAACGAAAATTAAACATGTTCGTTTTTGATGTATTACATTTTATTTTTTTACCTTTTCTTATTATGAGATCTATACATGTTTTAAAATCTGTTTGTAAAAATACTAGCGGTGTGCGACTCGAGTTATTTGACTCGAGTAACTCGAATCAAACCTTAAACGAGTCTACTCGAGTTCAGTTTTAAGCAACTCGAATCAACTCGGTCGTCCGAACGCAAACCGGACGTTATACGCGGTGTTCCGAGTTACACACGCGAGTTGTTCCGAGTTACACACGCGGCTCGCGCGCGCGGTTCGTTAGGCGTTGCAACTCGCATCAACTCGAGTTGAGTGAATTATTATTTATTATGTTACGATACACACGCGCGCGCGCCGTTCGTAAGGTGTTGCTGTGTTGCATCGTACTCGTATCGACTCGAATAGATTATAGAACTCGGGTTGAGTCGGGCTCGCTCGGCCAGGATCGGAACGGAAACGGAATTGCGCGAATGAAAAACTGCGTTGAATGTTTATTTTGATTGACATTTTTTTTCTTTTATATTTATTTCGTTTATTTTATTTATAACTACTACTATTTATAACTATTTATAACTATAACTTGCTATAATATAAACTAAGCAATTATTTAAAAACTAAACCATGGACATTTTGTTGTTTAATTTTATTAGTTGATTGACCGTTAGCGATCCGCTCGTGACCGGACTTTTTTGTTTTGTTTTGTGTTTTGTTCGTAATGGCGCCAAATAAAAGAAGTGTCGTTTGGCAATTCTTTGATAAAAATAAAGATAATAACAAAGTTAAATGCAAATTGTGTTCATCTGTATATAAAGACGTAGGAAATACTACAACATTGGTGAAACATATAAGGAAAAGACATTTAGTTCAGTACAGTGAAGCGATTGGACAAAATTTACCCAGGGAACTAAATGAAAATGTACCTGAACAGATTTGTACTAATTCTTTAATTAGCGGAGCAGAAGCCGGTCAAATTCAAAACGATATCATTTTGCCGCCATCACAGATACGAAATGTCACAGAGTCCAACGAACCCCCTCCGAAGCGCCCAAAACAATTGCGTTTAATTGCTCCTACTAAAATCAACCAAAAAGTAGGAGATGATGCGCTATTAGATTTGATTGTTTTAGATATGCAGCCACTACAAATAGTTGAAAACGAAGGTTTTAAAAAGTATTCGCTAAGATTAAATCCGGATTATGTGTTGCCATCACTTATATTGTTGTTATCATCATTTATATTCTTCAATAATTACATTTTTTTTTTTTACTAATTATCTGGTCATTTTATTATATAGCACTTTATAGTATTTTAATAATTTCCCTTTTGTAGTATATAGCCCATTATAGTATTTTAATAATCTCCCCTTTTGAGTGTTCGTATAGCCCTTCTAAGAGCGTCTGAAAGCAACATAAACGGGACGTGCTGTGTCGAAGTGGCATTCGACCTTGAACTCTACTCTCTCCCTCTCACTTAAGGTAGTTACTGTTTCTTTCCCCCTTGTTGTGCATAATTCTGTCATGAGTATACGTATAGCACTGATTTCGGTAAGTCACTGGTTGGACACACTGAAAATCAGCGCCATGGAGAGAAAAAAAAATTCATGGCATTATGCTGAGTGTGCTCCTGTTCCCAGATGACGCCTTGACACATATGAGTATTGGTATTGTATAGTTTGTAATATGTAGTATATTGTAATTTGTATTGTATAGCCAATATTATTTGTAAATTATGTGTTTCTATTTTATGTTATCTGTGATGGCGTCATTTTGGAGAATAAACCTTTCTTTCTTTCTTTCTTTCTTTCAAAAAAGTTGACCCAAATGCTGGAAGATAAATACAAAATATGCCTTTCAGAAGTTATTGGCAAATTACAAAGTGTGGAACATATAGCTCTGACAACTGATATATGGAGTTCAGACAGTCAAAAGAGCTTCATATGTGTAACTGCACATTTTATAAATAATTCAAAACTGCACTCTATGGTAGTGTCGACGACTGAGCTCTCCCAACATCACACTGCATTAAATATTGCAAATGCATTGCGGACTACATTAACAGAATGGGAGATATACGATAAAGTAGTTACGATTGTAACTGATAATGCTTCGAGCATGAAAAAAGCAGTCAAGGATTATTTACAAAAAAGGAACCATTTCTGTGTCGCACACACACTAAATCTTGCCGTTAAAGACTGCATTAGCAAAGATAGTGAGAGTGAGACGGACCATAATAGACATTTAAAAAATGCTGCAGTGCTGGATATTGTTTCAAAAAGTCGTGCAATAGTAACCCACTTTAAACAGAGTATTAAATCATCTAATACACTTAGAGACATGCAGAGCCAAATGAACTTAGAGATAATTAAACTTAAACAAGACGTACAAACAAGGTGGAACTCTACTTTCTATATGTTTGAAATATTGTTAAAAGTCAAAGCTCCTCTATCCGCTACTTTATCACTTATTGACTCACCTCCGCCAAACTTAAATTCAACTGAATGGCAGATTCTGGAAGATTGTGTGGCTCTTTTACAACCAGTGGAAAAAATCAGCACCGTATTATCTGGGGAGTCTTACCCGACGCAGTCCATCATTATTCCCCTAGTAAGAGGATTACAGAGTGCTATAATAAAGAAGAGACCAAGCACTGAACCTGGAAATCACTTACAGAGGTCATTATTGGAAATTATAGACAAAAGACTAGGTGTTTATGAATCGAATCGGAGTGCAGCAAAGGCGACCATTCTAGACCCTCGATTTAAAAAAAATGCATTTGGGACCATTAGTACTGCAGAAAATGCAGTTAAATATGTATTAGAGGAACTGGTTCAATATCAGCCAGTTCAGGGGTAAACATCAGAACGAGCCATTGCTTCGACATCTGATGTTTCCATTTCAAATAAGGCCGATGACTCGGATATATGGGAAGACTTTGACAGGAAAATAAGTGAAACTGTCATGCATCAGACTCCAATCTCTTCTGCTTCCATTGTTTTAAGACAATATCTAGATCTGCCATATCTAGACAGAAAGCAAAACCCAATACATTTTTGGAAGCAAAGGGAAAATGTATATCCAACCCTATGCCGGATGGCATATAAATATTTATGCATTCCCGCTACCTCAGTGCCGTCGGAACGACTTTTTTCAAAGGCTGGTTTACTTACGAATCAAAGAAGGAACAGACTCATGCCAAAAAAAGTTGACCAAATATTATTTTTAAATTCTTTCTGTACCGAAAAGAGGACGTATTGAAGTGATATTATGTTATATTTTTTTTATCTTCCTACTTATATTAATATACATCTTATTTCAATGTTATTGAAATATATTTTTCCTATGTTATGTGATGATTTTATAAATAGGTATTAGAGGAAAATAGAGTTATTTTGTTCTAAGGAAAGACTTTTTTTGAAATTTTAATTTTGTTTTGTTGTTGTAATTGAGATTTTTAAACATTGCTAGTCTTAGTTTTTACTATATGTATAAAAGTATTATATAACAACATTATGTTCCTAGTTTAATAACTGTGTTAAAATACTGTAATATTTATTAGTTTAAGGATTTTTTAAACACTGAAAAGGAAATGCCATTAATATCTCTAAGTGTACTTTAATAAATAAATATTTTTGATTGCAAATACCTGCTATACTTCTTTCGTACATATATGATAATATATGCAGTCGATTGCTAATCGACTTAATCGAGTACAAATAGTTTCGTGTTGCGAATCGACTCGAGCAGCCATATCATAATATCACAATTGATGTCTCCGTGGCGCAGTTGCCAAGGTATCGGCTATCGGCTTCGGCGTCGGGGGTCATGGGTTCGATTCCGACACGGGACAACTATTTGTGTGACCCACAGATAGCTGTTCGGTATTTGGGTGTTTGTCCGCGTGAAATTTATGTTTATAAAACGTCATTACAACACAGGATAATGTTATTCTAAAGTAAGGCAATGTTTTAAAAAAAATAACATCATTATTATAACTATCAGTCTCGAGCTCGAGCTGACTCGTGGTCCCCGAGTCGGCCGAGTCGCCTCTCTTTCCCTACAGCAGACATCGATTCGAGTCAACTCGAGTTACGATTCGAGTCAGTAGCCATATGAACTCGAGCAACTCGAGTCAAAAAAATCCAACTCGTCACATCAGTAAAAAATACTAATAAATATAGTACCTTCATAATATTACAATTGAATTATGATAGTACATATTATTTATGACTATAATGCATATTACTAACAAATTCATACCTACAGTTATAATAAATCTAATATATGGTTATAAAACAATGAATAATTAAAAGAAATAAATATGTATGTAGTGAAATCTTTATAATATTTTAAAATTGTAGACATAGCATTGACTGTAGGAATAGACTGTGGTTGTATACTTTATTACTTTTTGATAGCAAACAAAGAATACAATATGGTAGCAAACCAGCAAAATTAAAAAGTGTAAACTTCTTTGTTTAACAATTGATAAAGTAGGACAGAATGAGATTGAAATAAAAGTGAATATTGTGTGAATTTGTGGTAAAGTTTGAAAAAGTTTGTATTTGAAATTGCAGTAAGTTCAATTAAAGTTTATCTGCTAAAAAGTAGGTAAGTATGTCAATGAATCAAAATAAAAATCATGAGAGAAAAATAATACAAGAGTTTGTATTTCCTCCAAAATGTTTAATTACTTACAACAAATGACAAACACAGGTCTCATAACGTTATTAGTGTGTTTATAAAATTACCTACCTATTAAAGTTAAGCTAAATTAAATAAATAATAGAATCACAAAATATTTACAAAAGTACCTAGTTGTGTATGAAATTATCTGGAATCAATCAAATATCAATCGGAAAACAATGTCAAAAAAGAATATTTGTATTTTTTTCCTAGCTCGGCATGTTATTATTTATAATAAGGATAAAATATATAATAAAGAAAAAAGTAAATAAAGTGTAATAATTAGTTTTTCAGTCCACTCTTATAATATAAAATTCAATTATAAATATTATATTAAATATATAATATTATATTATAATTCATATTCCTCTTTTGGATTTCTATATCTTTGTAATAAAAATATTTCGTATTTTCATTGATTGATATTTTTATTTAAAAACTAGGCTTCTGCATCACACGTGGTATAGCCATGCTGCAGCTATATTAGTAGTATAGTTGTAGCACGAATGGGTCGGCTCAACTGGGGAAGGACCACGCTCTCACAAAATACCAGCGTAAAATAGCAGCTTAACACTGCTGTGTTTTGTATGGTGAGTGTAGAGAACTGGAGACCCTTTTTACTGGAAAAGAGGCATTTCATCTTTGTCCTCACAGGTGACAACACATCTACATTTTGATTCGCAAACGATGATAGATGTAAATGTCTATGGTCAACAGCAACCACTTACCATCAGGTGGACTGTGTGCTCGTTTGTCACCCTATCCTATAAAAAAATCACTCTTTCGCTGGGGGATTCACCTTCAGCTAATCTCTCTCTCCTACCCTTCATCCTATAAAATCAATTGTAGGTTATGTACATTCTTTCAGAATTTATATCTTTTAACTTTTTTATTTTTACTGATTTTTCATTAACTTTTTTCAGGTGGACAGTTTAAAATAAATCAGTATGCCTTGCAGGCTGAAAGCTTGCAGACCTCTCGGTAGGCACAACAGAATATGGAAAGACAACAGAAATATGAATATGCAATTTATAGATATTGAAAACAACAGTTTAATCTCATATCTGTTATTGTTGAAAATGTGCTTGTGATTCATAACAAAATCATAAAGACATGTTATTGTCTCTGTCATATGTCCAGTTTGAACATCTTATTTCCCCACTATTTATCAGTGTGTACTAACACAGATAAACATGTTATTACCTAGTCATTGGCTTTAATGGTGTTGGGGGTGTGGGTAATAATCTGTTAACATATTTTAAAACAAAGTACACATACTGTGCCTGTCTGTTTAACATAAATGGTGTTTAGGATGTATACTAACCAATCAATCAATACATTATGTAAACAAAGTATCCACACCACACCTGATTGTTTGTGCTACTTTGAAGAAACGAAAATAATAATGAACAATAGTAAATACAGTGATATTATGTATTGTGTTTTTTTTTTATCATAACCATTTTAAAACATGTAACTTGCTGTTTATTTATTAATGTCTAAAATCAATAATGGGTATGTTATAACCAAATAATTTTGGATTTAATGTTATTTACTGTGTATACTTGCTAACCTATCAAAAGATATTAAAACAAAGTGTTGAAATTTCGCCTGTCCGTTTGTCTTTTGTACTTTTAAGAGACTACTGCTTTGGAAATTATTACTTATAATAATAAATGCAGAGGCATTTTACTTTGTGATTTTTATCCTTACACAACCAGTATAAAACATGTTTCTCATCATCTTCATTATATAGTGTGTATATTATATAAGTGGTAATATTATATAAGTGGACATATTATTCCTTAGCCATCTTGGCTTTAATAACATTTTTTAATTACTGTAATGGTGATTGGGATTAATACTTATTAATCAATCAATATATGTAAATATTATGTAATCTAAAATAGTTTCCACACCATGTCTGTGCAGTATGTACTGTTTTTCTGGAACTACTAAAAGGATTTTCCATCAATCTTAAAATACCTATAAATGTATATGAATATATTGCTATATATAAACAATAAATGCTGAATGTACCTAAAACTTTGTTTTATTCTATTATTGAATTAAATAAAACTACTTTACAGCACCCATGGTCATGGGGGACCATGTGTGTTGTAAAGCACCCGAAACATCTGGAATATAACTTAATATACGCGATAAAATCCGTAAAACTGATTTTATGTAAACATATTTTAATTAAATGACATTGTGTAACAAAACAACTTTACCTCAAAAAAAAAATAATACTAGACTAAAACTATTACTAAATTAAAATAACTAAAACTAAACCTTAAAAATAAAATAAAATAACTAATTAAATAAGAGGCCTGGGCCTCTTGGCAGGGTGCCCATCACGCAGGCAGCATTCCCGCGTTGAACTGCGATTGCAATTCTTTGCGCGAGAAAGCCGCCGGCGCGAGGGTCGCCTGTTGCCTCCCTCAACCTTTTGCTGAGCTCCTTGTGGAGTTCCAGCGCACCTTTGCCCCAGGGACCTAGTGTCTCGACGCCGAAAGCAAAAAACTGATATTGGGCGCCGAGACAGCTGTATTTAGAGACCTTGAGGCGTTCCCGGGCGTCCGCCGCCGCCCCCGCACGTTTGGTAGTTGCTGGTAGATAGGACGCCGCCAGGGTGTCTGTACAGGTGGCGTCCCACACCAGCGCACGGCCCGACTTCCAGGGTATGAGCGACATGCCGTCAGGGCGCTTGCCATCGCTCCGCACAATCTGGGGCTCCAGAGCGGCGGGAACGTTGGCACTGACGAGCGCCCTTCTGAGAATGTCGTTGAGAGCAGCGTGGCGGGACAGGCGGCCGGCGCCCGAGGTGCAGGAGAGGCCATGGTGGCCGAGTCGGTCCACTGGAGCCCCACAAGAAACACAGTTGTGACCTGTGCAGATCCCAGCTCCCAGCCGGAGACCGACGGCTATGCGTAGAGTGTCCGGGTTGATAAAAGTCCCAGTGTTGGGCGAGGGATATGCCTGGAGCCAGTAACCAGATTCTGGCTTGGACACAGCTAACAGCCTGGCTCGGTCCCTGCCAGTTGAAGGCTCTATTAAAGTTTGTAAGGTGGCGACGGACGCTATTGTATCCCAGGCCCTTTGCTTATGTGGTTTGGATGGGAGATTTGGACTCGGATATTCTACCTGCGAGATCTAGCGTGCTGTGGATTGAAGACAGGAATGCAGGCAAAGCCACACTTAAAATTTTGCGTGTTCCCAGGCCGCCGTTCCTTATTGGTAAAGCGGCTTGGGTCCAAGCCTGTTCGCTCAAGTGAATGTTCAGGATGTTTTCAATTTTGGATTTCATTAGAGTGTCAATAGGTGTGATCAAATGGGGGAATTTCCAAATGGGGCAACAGCGAAGCATGTAAGTGAATTTAGGGACGAACAGACAGAATTTTAAAATAAATAAAGCAGAGTGGCTACTAATTTTGAGAAGGCGGTCCGAATACTTGCTGAAGTTTGTTGTTGATTTATTTAAGAGAAGAGGAATGGCCTCCTCAAAGATGGGGGAGCCGAGGAGGTGCAGACTGTCCTTCGTTACTATTTTAATGTTAAGAGCAATGTTG